CTCTCTCTCTCTCTATCTCTCTCTCTCTTGCACTTTTTAACTCCCAGTGGAGCATACGCCATCAACAACATTTCTCCAACGAAGCCTATTTTATGACTCAACTAGCAGTATTAATTTATTTCCTAAGGGGGTGTTTTCTTGGTATTTTCCAGCAGGTTCAGGAGACAAGATGGCGAATTTTTTTAACATGAAGGCCCTCCTGGTTGTTATTTCCCTGTTTCTCCGGGTCTCTCTCTGTCAGTACTTCGGCATGATGCACGGGCCAGTAGGAATGATGGGACATATGCCACTTTTTGGAAGCGGTGGTAACTTTTTGGGGCTCGACGACTACGACAGGAAAGATTATGACGGTAAGAACATGAGGTGTCAATATTTTTCCCCTGTGATTTGATTTTGGTGCCTAAACTGTAGGTAAAGAACAACATATTTAGGGAACCTAAACAAATGGGCAACAGGGAAAGAAACGCAGCTTTTTTCAGAGCATCCGAGCAAAGGAATGAAAGGAGAACCATGATCGCCGATGTCTGTTGCAGATCTGGCACTGGATGATGATGATTGTAGGTTACGTAAAATGTGTTAAAATGGTGCACATTGTTAGGTTTCAAGAAGAACAAAACATTAAAAGCAGAACAAGAAAAAGTGGAATTGTTTAGTCGGTGATGATGATGATGATGATGATGATGATGTTGATGATGATGTGATGATGACGATGAATTTCCGATATTTATTCAATTTTTCCACGATGTATGCATGCCCCACTGAGACAATGGGTTTACTTTTTGTACATGCGTCAAGTGCGATGCGTTAAAATGGCCCCCCATTAATTATTTATTATTATCTATATCACTGTTATCATTGTTGTTATTGTTATTATTATCATTATCATTATTATTTCTATTTTTATTATTTATTATAATGATGTTATCAGACCGTAAACTTTACCTTCTTCCTTGGAGTTGTCTCTTCCCTGCAGAAGCTAGCCCTCCTACCACAGCCTCCAGCCTTCTATGTCCAGGTTGTACCTGTCTGCACCCTGATGTCATCTTGCTCCTCTTCTTGTTTTTTGTTGTTGTTGTTTTTGTTTTGTTTTGGTTTGTTTGGGGTTGTTTTGTTTTGTTGTTTTTTGGGGTGGGTTTTTGGTGTTGTTGTTGGGTTGTTGTTGTTGGGGTTTTTTGGGGGGGTTTCTCGGTTTCACTTCAGTGCATATTTTTTTCCATATGTTGTCTTCCTTTTGCCGATGTGGCCAGGGCAGGCCCATTTCCATTTTTGTCGAAGCATAAATTTGGGGTCTTCTGCCACTCCTGTCTTCGGTGGTATTTTTTGTGTGTGGAATATTTGACCGAATAATATTGTTATACCCAGTATCTTCCTTTCCTTTCCTTTTTTGTAATATCCTTAGTTTCTTCATGATACGTCTGATTATTAGCTTTATTTGTATTTTTAAAACCACTTAATCCATCATTTGGAGTGTTTCAAAGACATATTTTGTGCGCACCCCCCATATCCAGGCTCAATTCGACTTACATGCAGCAAAAAGAAAACACACAGAGGTAAAACGACCGACGCCATTACTGTGACCATCTCTCAGTATAATGACTTCGACTACAACTACAACGGCTTTGGCGGCGGATACGGAGGGATGTACCCAGGCTATGGCGGTTTCCACGGGCCTCAGGGAATGCACGTAAGTTCTGCGATAGGCTTAACAAGATAGGCTTCTATGGGGTGTTCCATAATCAAGCATTCACCCTTTCAGCAGCAACAATAACAACAAAAGAAATAGCAACGCCAGTAGCAACATCCTCAACAACAACACCAACAATAACAACATCAACAACAACGACAGCAACAACAACTACAATGACGACGACGACAACAACAACAACAGCAGCAGCAGCAGCAGCTATGTAAGCCTGGTAATAAGCAGCAGAAGGTAATAATGTGCTTTTATGAGGTATTCCACAAGAAAGCATTCACGCATTCAGCTACAACAACAACGACAACAACATTAAAAACAACAACAGGAACAACAGCAACAACAACAACAACAACAACAACAACAATACTGTACAGCCATCTGTGCAAATGACCACTTTCCGATTCTCCACTTAGGTTTTGTCTATTATAATGACCCTGTCTATAATAGAGGACCACCTGTCTAAGATAACCACTCTTCTTCTCGACGTCCTCCTTACCCTATTTTTTCTCTCAGTCGCCCCCCTCC